AGAAAAAGAAAGGAAGATGGGGAGAGAGCAAGGAAGGAAAAAGGAAAAAGAGGGGAAGCAAGAAGAAAGAATGAAGAGGGAAGGAAAAAAGAGAAAAGGGAAGGAAGGAAGGAAGGAAGGAAGGAAGGAAGGAAGGAAGGAAGGAAGGAAGGAAGGAAGGAGATAATGAGAGTGAGTGAATATTTGTGAAAATGTACAGAAAGTGGAAAATGGAATGATAAGAAACTGAATATGAAAGATAAATATGTAATTATGGTCATGTTTGTATGGAAATGTAAAAATCTGAAACCACATTGTTCACCAAAAGAGATGTCTGTAAAAGATAAAAATAAAAACTTGGTACAAAAAAAAATTGTGCAGGGGGCTGGACTAGAAGACCTCCAAGGTCCCTTCCAGCTTTATTCTGATTCTGAATTCTGAATCATATTCCACCCCGCTTTTTTTTTTTGCAGCCTGAAGTTGGAATGTGAGAAATTAGCAACCGAAAAAACAGAGATGCAGAGGCATTATGTTATGGTAAGTCATAGTAATAATATAAATAATAACCATAATACTTTTTTAGCAAGAAGTTAATGGATTTACAAAATACAGGTAATCCTTGACGTATAACGGTTTCATTTAGTGACTGTTTGAAGTTACAACGGCACTGAAAAATGGGATTTATGACCATTTTTCCGACATACGACCGTTGATCGGAATTGAGCCCAAAATGTCTTTTGCTAAGTGAGACATTTGCCAAGTGAGTTTTGCCCCGTTTTACGACCTTTCTTGCCACTGTTGTTAGGTGAATTGCTGAAGTTGTTAGGTTAATAACAAGGTGGCTAAGTGAATCAGGCTTCTCCATTGAATTTGCAAAAGGTCGCAAAAGGCCCCAGGACACGGCAACCGTCATAACTATGAGCCAAGCGTCTGAATTTTGATCATGTGACCCTGGGGACGCTGCAACGGTCGTAAGTGTGAAAAACGGTCATCGGGCACTTTTTTTCCAGCGCTATTGTTTACTTCAAACAGTCACTAAATAAACTTGTAAGTTGAGGACTTCCTATACATGGTTGCTAAATTGTTGAACTCAGAGGTGATATTCCGCAAGTTCTGATCAGTTCTGGAGAACCGGTAGTGGAAATTTTGAGTAGTTCAGAGAACTGGCAAATCCCACCTCTGACTGGCCCCGCCCCCATCTCTTCTCCACCTCCCATTGAGTCCCAGCTGATTGGTGGGGTTCCTTTGGTTACCCTGCACAGGAGAACGGAGCTGGAAAGCAGGTTAGTGGGGTGGGGAGGGAATGGGGATTTTGCAATATCCTTCCCCTTCCCCTGCCACGCCCACCAAGCCATGCCCACAGGACCAGTAATAAAAAAAATTGAATCCCACCACTGGTCAAACCCCGATTTGGTGGCATATAATCAAATCCTGGCCCAAATGGTTCTTTTTTTAATTTTTTTTTAAAAATAATATGTATTTACCTATTGCCGGCTGCTTGGGATTTCTATGTGCTTCTCGCATGTTTTTTGCATGGAACTGTGGCCGCGTAGCCATTGGAGACCGAATGTCAGGAATTGGGGCACGAAGCTGAGAGGAAACTAATCAGAGGGTGGAATTCTACCAGTTCAAACCAGTTCAGACGAACCGGATGTTAAAGTTACATCTGGTTTGCCGAACCTGTAGTTGAACTAACTGGCTGTTCCAGTAGGCCCCGCCCACCCTGGCCCCGCCCACCCAGCCACCGGGCAGCGAACCGGTTGCTGGCATTCTTGGAATCCCACCCATGAAACTAATGTTTTATCATGGCCAAATCATTGGAATTTTGCAGAATTTTGAGATAAACAGCCTGTCCAACTGGCACTTCTCCTTCTTTTTCAGTATTACGAGATGTCCTATGGCCTGAATATTGAAATGCACAAACAGGTGGGCCTTTCCTGGGAATCGCGAAAAGGAGCAGGTTTGGGAAGGAAATTCAGATTCGGATATGCAAAGGCAGAAGTTGCCCCGTTGGGCATAGTGGGTGTAATTTTGTTAATTGGGATGATGCCAAGGGTCTAGGTTGCCGTTGGCTTCCTAGGCGGCATCAGGTTGGCAAATGTATAGGCTGAGTTCATGCAGAGGGATTAACCTCCCTGGTCCATTCACACCACAAAGCTAAGTTTAGTGTTGTGTGAAAGCAGCCAAGTTGTTTAAAAAGGTATGAAAGAATGGGACTTTCTGAAGGGAATACTTTGTAGACTTCCCTACTTCCCTCCATTCCATTTCCTTCCTTCCTTCCTTCCTTCCTTCCTTCCTTCCTTCCTTCCTTCCTTCCTTCCTTCCTTCCTTCCTTCCTTCTCCCTCCTTCTCTCCGTTTTCCTTTCTCCTTCCTTCCTTCTCTCCATCCCTCCCTCCCTGTTTTCCTCCCTCCCTCCTTCCTTTTTCCTTTCCCCCTCCTCCCTATTTTCCTTCCCTCATTCCTTCCCCCTCTCTCCCTCCCTGTTTTCTCCCTCCCTCCCTCCTTCTCTTACTCCCTCCTCCCTCTTTTCTGCCTTTTTCCTTTCTCCTTCCTCCCTATTTTCCTCCCTCCCTCTCTTCTTCCCTGTTTTTCTCCCTCCTCCTCCTCTCTTTCTTCTTTTCTCCCTCCTCCTTTTTCCTTCCCCCTCATTCCTTCTTCCCTCTCTCCCTCCCTCCCTCCCTCCTTTCCTTGAAGAGAAAATTTGAGCAGAGGGAGCCTTTGAAGTTTCTCTTTTCTCCTTTCCTTTAGGCTGAGATTGTCAAGCGGCTGACTGCGATCTGTGCCCAGATTACCCCCTTTCTCACACAAGAGGTATAAATGAATGAATGAATGAATGAATAGTGCCGGGATTCCGGCAGTTACCCCCAATTAAATCATGAGTCTCGAGCCAAACTTCCAAAACTTCAAAAGGATTTATTGGGAGTGAAAATGTCCGGCACTGCCTGGGTGTAGCTGACTCTGAGACACATCACTCATTGTCACCCATCACCCTGGTTTTCCCTCCCACCCCTCTGGGTGTATCGTAATTCATATCCTCCAATGGGACACATCCATAGCCCGGAGTCATCAATCATGTTCTCCAGTTAGATCTTTGTGCGGCAGGAACTTCCATCGCCTAGTTATTATCTTTCAAAAACCATGTATGGCATGCACTTTCGATTTCCAAGCTGCCGCACTGCTCTTTCAAACCCCTTCCCTCCTCCCCCCCACACCTTTCTGTTGGCAACCCTAAAAAGACCATAGAAATATTTGATGAGTTGACAAATAGCAGGCAAGAAAAAAAAGTGAACAATTGTAAAATTGAGGATTACCTGTAATCCATCTTCCCCATTGGTGGCAACTAGACTCTTGCATCGCTTGTTAAGAGTGGGCCTTGGCTGGTCTGGGGCAACGATTTCATGGGAGCTGTTTTCAAAGTGCGCTGACCCTGTTTTCCTTGGCCCCCAGCATCAACAGCAGGTCTTGCAAGCCATGGACCGGGCCAAGCTGGTGACAATGGGGGAGCTGAACAACATCATTGGGGTGAGTGAGTGTTGCCAGGGCCAAGCAGCCTCCTTGGATTTTTTTTCCACAAACAATTGACCACAGCCGTGGTTCTCAATCCCAGCAGCATTAAGATGGGTGGACTTCAACTCCCAGAATTCTCTGGACTTGCCACAAAGTGAAAGGAAGGAAGGCAGGGACGGAGGGAGGGAGGGAGGAAGAGGCAGGCAGGAGAGGGGAAAGAGAGGAGGGAGGGAGGAGGAAGGAAAGCAAGGAAGGAAAGAGGGGGAGGGAGAGAGGGGGAGGAAGAGAAGGTAGGTAGGAAGGAAGGAAGGGAGGAGAAGGAAGGAAGGTGAGGGGGAAGGAAGGAAGGAGAGAAGAGGTGGGAGAAAGGAAAGAAG